CGTCAGTCGGATAACTCTGAGGGCTTGTCTGTCGAGAAGAGTCCAGTTTTCATTCTTCATGTCATCTGGTTGTTTTCCTGAGAGATGTTGATATAGATTTTTCTGGTACATAAAATCTTCAATTTGCATATTCCAAAAGCCAAAGTCCGCACCATCAAACTTTTCAATTTTCACATTCCCTTCGTCTACAGCCATCGCTCCCACTCGAATATTGCTTATTCGGATCGTTTTTGACAATTTGTGCGAACCACCGTGTATTATAACACCTCCGTCGATAAACTCGTATTGTCGACAAAATGTTTACTATTCACGTGAATAGTAATGAATAGTAACCTCGTAAAAATTGACAAAATTCACAACCAAAAGCTCTGATTACCAATTGTCGGGAAATAAAACGAGTAACAAGTAATTTCCCTATAACCAGATTAGTGAGGATGCGAAATAAAAGCGGAAAAATAATACCCGAAGTTGATAACGGAGTTCAACCAATTTGCTTATGTCTCCGGACTGCTGCAGATCTTTTACTAAGAGAGAAATTTACAGGTGTTTACAAAACACTCACTACTCACAAGAAAGCTCTCCAGTATTGGGAGAAAGAAATTATTTTTGGGATGATTTTGAAGCTAAATGTGTTAGGGTATTTATAGTTGAAGGTTAAGAACTAATCTTATAAATACTTTAAAGTCCAGTGACTAATAATAATTATCCCATTACAATTTTTCAACAAACATCTACCAAACTTAGAAAAATCATTTTTCAAAGAAACATTTACCAAATTTTGAAAATCATTTTTTCAAAATTAGTTGTCAAACTTTGAACTTTTAACATCTACAACCGGCATGATCAAAGAATTTTCGTGGTTAACGCCCTCTACGTGCATTGTTTAGAAAACTAGTAGTTTGCACTACGTTACGCAGCAAGTCAGAGTTGTTTGACTTAGTCGGTCCTGAAGCTCCACTTCCTTCTGATATTTCTCGACCACCTCTTCAAAAGAGTGAACAGCAACTTATAGATGAGTGGGAAAAGACTGGTCCACGGCCCGTCCTCTTCCTCCACCTTCTCATAGGCCCATATACCAACATGAAAAAGAAGGTCGTATTCTTGGATTACGGAGACCGACAAAGAACCGGACCCTTCACCTATGGAACTTAGGAAGCAAGCTCACAGGTTAATTTGGGATGCGCTCCATTATATCGTCTCTGTGGAAGCAAATGATGATGATGACGCAGTTGAAAAGATAGAACCGGAAGTAACTAATGTCACAAGTAGGCTTAACATGACTGATTGATCGCGATGAAGAATGGGATCCTAATGACTAACCGGAGGCAAATACAAACTCCTCTGTTTCATCAGCCCAACTGAGTTTCCGGTGAGTTCTTCTGCAATGAAATTATCTTTGTGTCACAAGGGTAGCCATTCTTTTATTTCGCAGCAGTCAATTGTCTTTTTTCCGAGTGGATTCGTTCAATCTATTCTCCAGTGACAAAGAAAATCAAAGAATTACTTTTAGATTGGCTTATACCATCAGAGTTTTCTAAAATTAGAACAACAGTTCGATTCTTCTTTTCTTTTTTTTAAAATTGCTCTTTCTTGTGGAATTTCATCGATACATGCGCTACAAGCAATTCATAACAGTACAACACTTGAAGCTTTAACCTCGGTTCTTTTTTTCATGGTTAAACTTGTGACTGCTCCTAATTATGTCTTTTCCAGGATTCAAACTGAGATTCTTTTTCTAATATATCCAATACTTGATAATTACTTGTTTGATTATCATCAAATAAAAATCATTGTATAATATTACATATTCAATCAATTTTTTCATATAATTAAACAGAGTTTTTCAAACAAAATTGATGGACCAAGTTTAATTGTTCACTGTTTAAATCCAAAATCTATTTAATTCATTATCAAAAGCTCAAGCAGCAACATGAAGAATAAAAAAGAAAGAAATATAGAAACAGAATCACCATTAAAACCCACCCGACAAAGGAGCTAAGCAGTTCACCCCCTCCATGTTCTTCACTTCTCGATGATTTTCCCGTTTTCGCTAATTTAAAGTCTCCTTATCATTAATAAAAAAAGTCAGCTTATCAAAAAGAAAAATCTTTTAATAGACACTAATTTACACCATTTCTGTCTTCAAAAACAGAGCTCTTTACATCCGTCCATTTTAGCAAAGTTTAAGGTATACATGTATGCACGGACCAAGTGACCTCGGTAGGAATTGTTATTATTCTTTGAGGTCCCAAATTCGAGCACCAGAAATGTTAGGGTGTGAACATTCAATATCAAATGGTTGAGAGTTATTTTTAAACAAATATTGTCTTATATTTACCCTAAATTAATTATGATAAAACAAAGCTATACATACCTCTGTGTTTGGGTTCCTCGTGCTGTGAGTTTAAGGTATACGATTTCTTTGTCTTTAAAGATCAACGAACTGTTTTTATTATTATTCATGATTGATCTAGGTATGGATCTAGGCAGGGCGGGTCGAGAAGGTCGCCCTATAAAAATTTAAAATTACGATATATTTTATATTTTATTTTTGTATTTTCTATTAAAAATTTATTTTCGCCCCTATAATTTTTTAAGTTTAATTTCACCCTCCTAAAATTTTATAAGTTTAAGTTCGTCCCCAACATAAAATACTGTGTCTTTCCTGGTTTGATCTTTGTCTTATGCTGTTTTCTCTCTCTTTTTTCCTTGGAGATGAAGCATGAGTTTTTCCTGATTTGTAAAATGACTCCGAGAGGGAAAATACTCTTTTAATCATTAAAAATGTAAAAACGTTTCAGATAAGAAAACAGTATAAAGTATTTAAAAATTATGAATTAATATGAATATAATATCATTATTGATCGAAATAGATTAAATAAAACTTTTATCATAATAATTATTAACCGATAAATCATATAAAATAGATATATCAGTATTGATCGAAACATATTAAATAAAATTTTGACCATGGTAATTATTAACCCATAGATCATATACCAACAAGTGTGGAAACTTATTTTATTAGGAATTGATGGTTAGCTGGTTCATATGCGATCACTGATTCCAAAGAGTTCCAAATGATCCTAACAGTATCTGGCCTTCTTTCTTACAAATTACAATATTCAAATTGTTCCCTTTGTTATTAAGGCTCAAGCATTCAAAATTCCAAGCCTTTGTTAGAAATCAAACTTGATTTCTAAAAAGTTGAAAAGTAAAAAAAATGGCTATAAAGCAAAGGAAATGGAAGCAAATGAACAAATGTGAAATTGTGGAATTCAATTACGGTAAGCTTAAATAAAGCGGCAAAACAAAGTCAAAAAAAGGTTGCAAGAAAGGAAGAAAGTGGCAGCTTCTTGAAGTTTAAATTAGTCGGTATAATTAGCTTATATATATGTGTGTGATATGTGAAATGTAAAAATACAAGTGAGAAAAAACAAGAATGTAATATGATTGAAAACTTAGAAAAACTAGAGAGAATTTGAGAAAGCTTAGCAAAGTTTAGAACAGCGAGGTTGTGTTTGCAAATTAGCCGCAACTAATGTTGTAGTATTGTAATATTGGGGTAACGTCGTTGTAACGTATTTTTACCTCGTATCAATAATAGTTCGAGTGTTATAAATTACCAAGAGCCCATCTACGCTTCCAACAAGTGGTATCTAGATTAGGGATGGCAAAAAAACCCGAACCCGACGGGGAAAACCGAAAACCGAATTAAACGGGTCGGGTTCGGGGATGATAAACGGGGACGGGGACGGGGAAAACCCATTTATTTTAAACAGGGACGGGGACGGGGACGGGTTTGGTAATCCCCGCCCCGATACCCGACCCGATAAATATTAAAAATAATTATATATATATATATATAATATTAATAAATTTAATTTAAATAAAATATATATATTTAATTTAAATATATATATATATATACCCGGCCCGATTCCCAGCCCAATACCGACCCAATACCTGACCCAATACCTGGCCCAATACCCGTTTAAATAATCGTTTGTGCTAAACGGGGATACCCGTTTCCCCGCGGTTTTCCCCGATTACCCGACGGGGATCCCCATTTAAATCCCTGCGGTTTTTTAAACAGGGACGGGTACCGGTTTTTTAAACGGGGACGGGGACGGGGGGACCAATACCCGGCCCGAACCCGGCCCGTTGCCATCCCTAATCTAGAGCTTGGTTTGAGTTTAATGTGGTGGAGAAGATGACCAACATGATTCAACCTCAAATCCTGAGATTGACAAAGACGAATTATGACAATTGGAGCATTCAAATGAATGCGTTACTAGGCTCCCAAGATTGTTGGATATCATCAAGGATGATTACACCAAGCCTGAAAATGCAGCAGCAGAAGCAGTCCTGACCAATGAAGAAAAAAAGGTATTGAAGGAATCCCGGAAAATAGATAAAAGAGCGTTGTTTATTTTTCAAGGAGTAGACGAATCTACCTTTGAAAAAATTTCTAATGCGAAGACCGCAAAAAAAAGCATAGGATATTTTGCAAAAATCTCTCCAAGGTGTCGAAAAAGCAAAGAAGAAGAATTGAAAGATTTATCCCAAATATCGATCGATGAGCTTGTGGGTTCACTTCAAGCCCATGAGCAGAAAATGAAACAAAATGAAGATTCTGAAAATTTGGACAAACTCTACAAAGCAAGATGAATGTCAATGAAGGAGAAGCTAGCAGATGTTTATTATGAGTGTAGAGGCAGATATCAACAAGGAAATAAATCTCAAGTACAATGTTATAATTGTAATAAGTATGGTCATTATAGTTATAAGTGTAGATCTGCTCCTAAACAAAAAGAAAGAAATAACACAGCAGCAGCTGAAAAAGAAAAAATTGAAAAATCTCATGTATTCCTCACTTATAAAGGAAGTGAAGAATTCAAGAAAAATATTTGGTATCATGATAATTGTGCCAGCAACCATATGTGTGGTAAAAAAGAACTGTTTGTGAAATTAGATGAAACAGTCCATGGACGAGTAACTTTTGGAGATGACTCTCACGCAAAACTAAAGGGAAAAGGAGAAGTCATGATTACTCAGAGAAATGGTGAAAAGAAATGCATTTCAGATGTTTATTATATACCTGCTTTGAAAAGAAATATCATCAGTCTTGGTCAACTCCTGGAAAAAGGATATGAAGTGCATATGAAGAATAGCTCACTGTCATCAAAAATAAAGAAGGATAATTGATAACCCAAGTTGATATGACTCGAAATCGTATCTTTACAATTGATATCGAGTCGGGAGAAGTCAAGTGCATGAAGACTGCGATCAAAGATGATTCATGGTTATGGCATCCAAGATATGGACATCTTGGATTTTCTGGATTGAAGTTGTTATCAAATACAAGAATGGTGAAAGGACTTCCAGAGATCAACCCTGTAAATCAATTATGTGAGGCTTGCATTAAAGGAAAGCAACATAGACAAAGCTTTGAAGTTGGTAGATCCTGGCATGCCCGAAGACCGCTGGAGATAGTACATACAGATATAGCCAGTCCTTTTGATATACGATCGCTTGGCGGTAACAGATACTACCTTACTTTTATTTATGATTTTAGTAGAAAATGTTGGATTTATATCTTGAAAGAAAAATCGGAAGCGCTGAAAATATTGAAAGAATTTAAAGCAATGGCGGAAAAGCAAAGTGGTCAATATATAAAGATAATCAGATCAGATAGAGGAGGTGAATATACATCAAAGTTATTTGAATAATTCTATAAAGAGCATGACATCATCCATCAGCTGACAGTTAGATACACACCACAACAAAATGGAGTTGCAGAAAGAAAGAACCGTACAATTCTTGACATGGCAAGAAGTATGATAAAAGGTAAGCAACTACCAAGAAATTTTTTGGTTGAAGCAGTTCAATATGCAGTTTACCTATTGAACCGATGTCCAACAAAAAGTGTAAAGTATATGACGCCAAACGAAGCATGGAGTGGTAAGAAACCAGGAGTTGGACACCTCAAGATTTTTTGGTGCATCGCACATCTAATGTTCCTGAACAATTAGAAAGAAGCTTGACGACAGAGGAGAAAAATGTATTTTCATTGGCTATGATGAAAGAAGCAAAGGTTACAGATTATATAATCCTCTTACCAAGAAGGTAATAATTTCAAGAGATGTCGAGTTCGATGAAGCAGAATATTGGAGATAGAGCAAAGAAGAAAATAAAGTTGAAGGACTATTTTTAATGAATATAAAGATAAAGATGATGATCTTATCAATCAAGATGAACAAGCTGATGATCAAGGTCCTCAACAAAATGTATCATCACGACAAGCAGCAGCAGCGATCTAACAACATAATAGAAAATTCTGAAGCACCTCCCACTGAAGTTCGAAGATCCACAAGAGAGAGAAGAATATCAAAAAGGTACAAATATTATGAATTAAATAATGTTTCACTATTCAGTCTCTTTGTAAAGAGTGGTCTCATAACAAATGAAGAATCGATTGGAGATGACAAGCGGAAAAAAGATTGGAATGGAAAATCAAGTTTGAGGGAGAGTGTTCGAAATCAAACTTGATTTCTAAAATGTTGAAAAGTAAACAAATATGGCTATAAAGCAAAGGAAATTGAAGCAAATGAACAAATGTGAAATTCTGGAATTCAATTACGATAAGCTTAAGTAAGGCGGCAAAACAAAGTCAAAAAAGACTGCAAGAAAGGAAGAAAGTGGCAGCTTCTTGAAGTTTAAATTAGTCGGTTTAATTAGCTTATATATATGTGTGTGATATGTGAAATGTAAAAATACAAGAGAGAAAAAACAAGAATGTAATATGGTTGAAAGCTTAGAAAAGCTAGAGAGAATTTGAGAAAGCTTAGCAAAGTTTAGAACAACAAGGTTGTGTTTGTAAATTAGCCGCAACTAATGTTGTAGTATTGTAATATTAGGGTAACGTCGTTGTAACATATTTTTACCTCTTATAAAAAATAGTTCGAGTGTTATAAATTACCAAGAGCCCATCTACGCTTCCAACAAAGCTTGGTTCGAGTTTAACGTGGTGGAAAAGATGGCCAACATGATTCAACCTCAAATCCTGAGATTGACAAAGACGAATTATGGCAATTGAGCATTCAAATGAAGGCGTTACTAGGCTCCCAAGATTGTTGGGATATCATCGAGGATGGTTACACGAGCCTGAAAATGCAGAAGCAGAAGCAGTCCTGACCAATGAAGAAAAAAAGGTATTGAAGGAATCCCGAAAAAGAATAAAAGAACGTTGTTTACTTTTCAAGGAGTAGACAAATCTACATTTGAAAAAATTTCTAATGCGAAGTGTAGACACTAAATTTTTGTCTCGATCTTATTATTATTATTATAATGATTATTATATATATATATATTATTAATAAATATTTTTATTGCAACTCAGGTCCAAAATACAACAAACCCAGAGCCCAATTACCACCAGGTACCCACAAGCCCAACCTGGTCCAGACCCGGTTAAGATAACTCGGTCCAAGCCTAAATGATAACCCTAAACCCTCTTAGGGTTACAACATCTTCTCCAACCGCCATCCACCATCAGTCGTTGGATCTGTTGAGATCCAATGGTCCACATATGAGCCAGAGGAAACCCTAGGGTTATGATACACTAAGGACCACGCGGCGCCGCATCTGCTGCCACCATCTCACCTACGCCCCGTTGCCACGCCAACGTCTCACCAAAAGGCTCCAAAAGCCATTTGCCCCTCCACACGTTGAAGCTCTATGGTGAGTCACTCTATGGTGAGTCACCACCATAGTTCGATGACTCACCTCGAGGGCCATTCTTTACCCGGTCCAAGGAGGACATCATCGATGGCTATAAAAACCATCGACCGAACTTGCAAAAAAGAGGAAGAAGACAGCAACAAGGACCAGTGAACGAACAACAACTTCGAACCAACAGAGAAAGAAAGAGGGAACCAACAAGCAATAACCAAACACCACCGGAGAACCATACCAACAACCATCAACGAAAAATAATCTAGAGAAGAGGAAGAGACTTACCATCGTCGTCGGAGCCTCCATACGCAGCCATAGAACCGAAAGGTCGAAGGTAAAGAAAGTTAGATCTACTTCGATTTAAAGGGTTTTAGGCTAAAATAAGTGTGGATTCGGGTTTAGAAAAATAAAGGCTTTAATTTGGGAAATTTTAGAAAAATTCGACCACCGCGGGGGCTACCGACGCCAGAGCAAGGTGGTCGACCGGTGATTGGGCTTTCTCTAGACGGAGGCGTTTAGAGAGAGGGAGAGAGAATTTTTCCATCTCTCTCTTCTAGAGAGAGAGGAAATTGAAAAATGAGAGAAAAATGGCCTTTAGGTCCAATTAAAGGGTATTTATACCCTCACCAAAACGACATAGTTTTGGTGAGGGGTCTCGGTGTAATTTCAAAATGGGGAAATATCATACTCAATCATTCAGAGTTTGTAATATTTCATTTTGGTCACTCGTATCACACTTTTATTTATTTTAATTTTATTATCGTATTTTATTTTATTATATTTTAGTCCCTAGCATATATATGTTTATATATTTAGGGTAAATATCTATTTAGCCCCTATAATTTTAATAACTTTTATTTTAATCACGAATAATTTATTATGGTAAAATCACACTGTTAATACTTATATTTTATAATATTTCAAATTATGTCTATTAATTTTTATATTTTGCAATTTAATACTATAACTTTTAATTTATTTTATTTTGGTCATTATTTAATTGCAATTTTATTTTTATTATTGTCATTTATTTTTCAATACTTTTAATATAGTACTTTAATTATTTATTTATTTATATGTTTTATTCACTAATATTTACATGAAATACAATATAATAATTTCATAATTTGATTAAATAATAATATTTATTTATTTTTAAATACTTAGAAAGGGCTGTCATAAAATAACTAGATGTCCTATTCTGGTATTTTTAAAAACAAATATCTTGTTTATAAATATATATATATATACTTTATTTTTATTTAAATTATTTGTATCACATTCTTATTAATGTTTATTTATTTTTTAATATCAAAGAAATGAGCTATCTTAAAATAACTAGATGTCCTTTTCTGATATTTCTAAATAAATAAATACATTTTTTATAAAACCTTAAAAATATAAATATTTACTTTAGTTTTATAAAAATTATTTTAATATATTTTAGCATTATTCAATTGAATCTGAAATAACAGGATTATAAATTAAATTTATATTCGAATTCTTCTATTTCTGCTAATAGAGACAATTTATAATCAATGGGTACCAATTTTGGGCGTTGTGGGGGTGCTAATCCTTCCCCAAACGTAAGCGACCACAAATCCCTTTTTATTACTAAAAAGAATGAATTTTTGGTTATACGCAAACCAATTTATCTTTTAAATGATTTTCCCTAAAAACTCTTTTAAAAGATGATTTTTAGATATTCGACCTACCTTACCCAAAAAGGTCGATGACGCCTCCAAAACATTTCATAAAAGAAAACCATTTATTCATCCACATACTTTTTTCCACCAAGGAAAATTCGTACCCGGGCAAAAACTGGTTACGACAGCTTGGCGACTCCGCTGGGGATCCTGGTCAACCTAAGTCAATTATTTATTGTCTCAATAGTTAGAAATCAAGAATTCAATTTTATTTAATTTATGATTTTTTTGATTTCTTTCAATTTATTTTATACCCTTGTATATTTATGTTTGTATTTAATTGCTATTTAGATATTAATTTTTGTGTGAAAATTTCTCCTCACACACAATACTTGTATTGCATAAACATAACCTCTATACCCGAGCTCTTTTTACTTTTAAGTGGGAGTGAAAGCGACGTCTTCGTGAGAATTTATTCTCTGTGTCAGACCTAGCAAGTAACTTTCAGGGTTCGTATATCCTATATCTTCGTGAGGATTTATTCTCCGTGTCAGGCATAGGGAAATGTGTCCCCTCAAATTGAACTCAATCCGCTTAAGTCTGTAATGGACTAGGATTGAGGGTTTGG